GGGAACTATGGCCCCCTTCATGACTGGTGGACTTCAACTCCCAGAATTCCTCAGCCAGCATGAGGGAACTATGGCCCCCTTCATGACTCGTGGACTTCAACTCCCAGAATTCCTCAGCCAGCATGGGGGAACCATGGCCCTTTTAGGACTTGTGGACTTCAACTCCCAGAATTCCTCAGCCAGCGTGCCTGGCTGAGGAATTGTGGGAGTTGAAATCCACAAGTCATAAAAGGGCCAAGTTTGAAGACCCCTGCCTGAAGCTAATTATTATTAGTTAATTGTTATCAGTTAATTACCCACCCGATACTTGGGCCTGAATATTGAAGCTGCCCAGTGCAGGAAGTTGTTAATCCCAGTTCATGTTGCACTTGTATATGTAGTCCTCAAGTTAACGACCACAATTGAGCCCAAACTTCCTGTTGCTATGCGTGACCGTTGTTAAGTGAATTTCGCCCCATTTTACGACCTTCCTTGCCACAGTTGTTAACCGAATCGCTGCAAACGTTAAGTCACACGGTCGTTGACTTGGCTTGTCAGAAGTTCGCAAAAGGGGATCACGTAAGCCCAGGACGCTGCGACCGTCATAAATAGGAGTCGGTTGTTAAGTGAATCCGGCTTCCCCATTGAGTTGGCTTGCCAGAAGGTCGCAAAAGGGGATCCTAGTGACTCCGGGACACTGCGACCGTCGTAAATTTGATCACCTGACCCAGGAGGGGACGCTGCAACGGTTATTAAGTGTGAAAAATGGCCAGAAGTCGCTTCTTTCAGCGGCGTTGTAACTTTGAACGGTCACTAAGTGAACCGTTGTAAGTCGGGGACTAGCTCTAATCGGTGGATTGGAAGAGGAAGTTACCTGGAAACCCAGAAGGAAGGAAGGGGGAGGGAGGAGGAACAGGCGACATCCCGGGTGTCGAGATCCCGTCGCACCTACGAGGCCAACGCCGTTACGCGTGTCGGTCCCCTAGTGGCAGCGACGCGCCTCATTTGTGGGACGCCACGGTGGCTCTTCCAAGAGGGTCATCTGGACACTTGGGGGGGATGGCAGAATTTGCACCCAAGGCTTTTTTTAAAAAAAAAAAATGGGCAGGGCCATGGGCTGCACGGTTCAAGGCACCACCAGGTGAGACGGGAAATTCAACAACTCAGGAAAGGAGCTCCAGGCCAAAGAGGCGCCCCTTGGAATGGCTTCCCCCGGAGCAGGGCGGCGCCTCCGGGCAGGGACGCCCGCGGTTGGGCGGAGGCTCTGCCACTCACGTTGGCCGCAGTGGGCGCCGGTGTACCCCTTCTGGCACAGGCAGGCCTCCTCGTCGCAGCTGCCCCCGTTCAGACACTTGGCCCCGCAGGACGAGGACGATGGGGCTGCGGGAGGAAGGAGGAGAGTCAGTGGGGCCGGGGAGACGAGGAGTGAGGGAGGAGACGGAAGGAGAGAAAGAGAGAAGGGAGGGGAGGGCAGGGAGGGAGGGAGGGAGGGAGGGAGGAGAGAAGGAAAGAGGAAGGGAGGGAGGGAGGACAAGATGGAAGGAGAGAGGGAAGGGATGGAAGGATGAGGAGGGAGGGAGGGAAGAAGAACAGAAGGAAAGAGGGGAGGAGGGAGGGAGGACCAGATGGAAGGAGAGAAAGAGAGGGAAGGGCAGGGAGGGAAGGAGAGAAGGGAGGGAAGGAGAAGAGGGAGGGAGGGAGAGAAAGAGAGAAGGAATGGGGAGAGAGGGAGGGATGAAGAACAAAAGGAAAGAGGGAGGGAAGGAGGCAGGGAGGAGGGGGTAGGACAAGATGGAAGGAGAGAAAGAGAAGGAATGGAAGGATGGGGAGGGAGGGAGGGGAAAAGAACAGAAGGAAAGAAGGAGGGAGGGAGGAAAGAAGGAGATAGGAAGGAAGGAAGGAAGGAAGGGAGAGAGGGAGGAAGAACAGAAGGAAAGAGGGGGGAAAGAAGGAAGGAAGGAACAAGGGAGGGGGAGGGAGGGAGGAGGGAGGGAGGAAAGGAGAGAAGGAGGAAGAAAAGAAGGAAAGGAAGGGAGGGAGGGAGGACAGAAGATGGAAGGAGAGAAAGAAAGAAGGAATAGAAGAACAGGGAGGGAGGAGGAACAGAGGAAAAAGGGAGGAAAGAAGAAAAGAAGGAGGGAGAGAGGAAGGGGAAAAGAGAGGGAGAACAGAAGGAAAGAAAGAGGAAAGAAGGAAGGGAGGGAGGCAGGAGGGAGGGAAGAAGAAAGGAAGGAGATAGAGAAATGGATAGGCGAGTAGGAAGAAGACAGGAACGGAAGGAAGGAAGGAAGGACTTTTCCGTGTGTGTGTGTGTGTGTGTGTGTGAGCTTCTTTCAGACTCCAGACTGCCCGCCCTCAGGGCTAGACAAGGGTCCCATCTGCCCTCCGGATCTTTGGGTTGTTTTTTTCCCCCTCTTTCCAGATGTGAAGGTTGCTAAGGCTCCAGTCCCCAAATATTGACTGGAGGAGCATTACTGCGGTTCCCCCCCTCCCTTTTTTATGGGTCCCCAGCCCATGGCCCCCTCCCCTGCCTGAATGGGTGGGTGGGGCAGCTGAGGGGGAAAGGGAGGTCTCCGTGGCTGTAAAAAATGGAGGAACACCCCCCCCCCAAATGTCCTCCTGAGAGTGTCCTCCCACCAAGGGCCCCCCATCTGCCGATGGACGGACCGGATGGGTAGGAGATGCGGTCATCGTTTCCCGGACGAACCCCCACCCAGCCTCGAACCAGGTTCCCCATCTGCTCCAGGGCCCATGTGTCCCAGCCAGCCCCCCACCCCACCCCCTCCTCGAGCAGAGCCCCCTCCCTGAAATCTAGACCTGTTGAGCTCCGGGACGTTTGCCTTCTAACTTTCTCAGCCCTGACCTCCCTGAGTGGTCTCCCATCCCTCGCTAAGCAGAGTCGAGCCTCCTCGTCCCTCCCGGGAGTCCTCGAACGTACGACCCACAACGGAGCCCAAAATGTCTGTCGCAAAGAGAGAGACGGGTGTGGTGAATTATTATTATTTTTTTTTGCCCCATTTGATGACTTTTCTCGCCGCCGGTTCTTAAGTGAACCTCTGCGGGTGCCACGTTAGTGACACGGTTGTTAAGCAAATCCGGCTTCCCCCGTTGAGTTTGTTCGTCAGGAGGTCACAAAAAGAGGAATCACGTGACACACACACGCCGGGACCCCGCAACCCGTCATAAATACAGGCCAGTTGTGCCAAGCGCCTGAATTTGGCTCACGCGATCTTGGGGAACGTGGCGACCGTCGTTAAGCGGGAAAAACGCTCCCGAGTCATTTTTCCCCCCACTGTTGTCATAACTTTGAAGGGTCACTAAATGAACTGTTGTAAGTCGAGGACGGCCTATGCTGAGTTGGGCCCAAGTTGGGCCGGAGCCTCTTCCTCTTCCTCCCCTTCCGCCCCCCCCTGTGGATTGGCCAAGGGTGGGCATGCAGATGGGCGACTTCCTTGCCCCCCTTTGTGGCAGCCTCAGCTCTGGCTGCGGTGGGAGGGGGCTGCAGTGGGCAGGGGTCTCGGTTAGTGGCAGGGGGGCCCTCAGCAGCGGCCCAGCCCAGGGGACCCCTGGCTGGGAGGGCTCTGCAAGGCCCTTGTTGCCGAGCTGTGAGGTTGCACTCAATAGGCGGTCTCCTGTTTAGGCCACCTCTCGGCCACGGAGGCCCACGAGAGACTTGGGGTCCCGGGCAGTGCCCGGCCTACCTCGCAGGGCTGTCCTACGTTCGCTGCGACCGTCACAGACATAGGTAGTCCTCGACACAACCGTTCATTTAGTGACCGTTCAAAGGTACAACGGCGCTGAAAAAAGGGACTTACGAGCATTTTTCACCCTTAGCAACTGTTGCTAAGTCACGTGATCCAGGTTCGGACGCTCGGCAACTGACTCGTATTTATGACGGTCGCGGTGTCCCGGGGTGTGTGTGTCACGTGATCCCCTTTTGCGACCTCCCGGCAAGCAAAGTCCATGGGGAAGAAGCCGGATTCGCTTAACGGCCCCCCTGTCACTAGCTTAAACACCCCCCCCGCGATTCACTTAGCGACTGTGACAATAAAGGTCATAAAATGGGGCAAAAACTCACTCAACAAAGGTCTCGCCATAAATGTCGGGCTCCGTTCTGGCCGTAAGTCGAGGACAACCTGTACCCTGCAGGGGATTTTGAGCACGCAACCACGGGGACAGCGCAACGGTCGTAAATGTGAGGAAAGGGACTTAAGTCACCTTTTGGGGGGCCTGTTTCGCTTCAAATGGCCACAAAACAAAGTGTTGTAAGTCGGGGACTGCAGGTACTTTAAGAGAAGCCCTGTTCAGCATCCAAGGGGCCCAGATCTGCTGGTGCCTGTGTTTGTGTGTCTGTGTGTGTCTATCTGTGTGTGGTGTCTCAGTCTTTGTGTGTATCTCTCTCTGTGTGTGTGTGTCTGTGTGTGTCTATCTGTGTGTGGTGTCTCTGTCTTTGTGTGTCTATCTGTGTGTGTCTGTGTCTGTTTGTCTATCGGTCTGTGTGTCTATCTCTTTGTGTGTGTCTGTATTTGTATGTGTGTGTGTGTCTGTGTCTATCTCTGTGTGTGTGTCTGTGTGTCTATCTCTGTGTGTGTCTCTATTTGTGTGTGTGTCTCTATCTTTGAATTTGAATTTTTTTTTGAATTTGAATTTTATTATATTTATACCCCGCCCTTCTCCCGGAGGACTCAGGGCGGCTTACAGCCAGTTTAAAACAACTAATACAATACAAAATACAAAATTTAAGAAAATGATTAAAAATAAATATTTAAATAGGCCGCTTCTACTAAAATTTAGTTAAAACCAATTTAAAATACCCCTAGGCCAGTCCTGCCCGCTGAAACAACCAAGTCTTGAGGGCGCGGCGGAAGGAGGGGAGATCCGGAATCACCCGGATCTCTGGGGGCAGCTCGTTCCA